ATTGGTCTTGTAGTGTCCCGAGTCTTGTAATGCCCCGGGTTTTGTAGTGCCCCTGGTCTTATAGTTCCCCGGGGTTTGTGGTGCCTGAAGTCTTGTAGTGCCCTGGTCTTGTAGTGCCCCTGGTCTTGTAGTGCCCCATGGTCTTCTAGTTCCCCTGGTCTTGTAGTGCCCACTGGTCTTTTAGTTCCCCTGGTCTTGTAGTACCGCTTTTCTTGTAGTGCCCTCTGGTCGTGTAGTTCTTTGGGTCATTAGGTGCTCCAGTTGTTTTAGTGTCCCGGGTCTTGTGGTGCTTCGGGTCTTGTTGTGCGACGGGTTTCTTGATGCCCCTGAACATGTAGTGCCCAGTTTCCTGTTGTGCCCCCTGGTCTTATAGTGCCCCAGGTTTTGTAGCGCCCCGGGTCTTATAGGTCCCCGGGTCTTGTAGGTCCCAGGGTCTTGTAGTGTCCCTGGTCTTGCAGTGCCCAGTATCTTGTGGAGCTCCGGGTCTTGTAGTGCCCCGGGTCTTATAGTTCCCCGGGTCTCTTAATGCCCCTGGTCTTGTAGTGATCCGTGTCCTGTTATGCCTTGGGTCTTGTAGTGCCCTGGGTCTCGTAGTGCCCCGGGTCTTATAGTATCCCGGGTCTTGTGGTACCCCCTGGTCTTGAAGTGATACGGGTCTTGTGGTGCCCCCAGGTCTTGTAGTGCCCCTGTTCTTGTAATGTCCCCCTGGTCTTGTAGTGCCCTGGGTCTTGTGGTGCCCTGGGTCTTGTAGTGCCCCTGGTCTTGTGGTGCCCTGGGTCTTGTGGTGCCCCGGGTCTTGTGGTGCCCAGGGTCTTGTGGTGTCCCGGGACTTGCAGTTCCCCTGGTGTTGTCCTGCCAGTGGTCTTGTAGTGTCCCATGTCTTGAAATGCTCCAAATCTTTTGGTGCACCGGTTCCTGTAGTGCGCCGGGTCTTGTAGTACCCCTTTTCTTGTAGTGCCCTCTGGTCGTGTAGTTCCGCGGGTCATTAGGTGCCCCAGTTGTTGTAGAGCTCCGGGTCTTGTGGTGCTTCGGGTATTGTTGTGCCTTGATGCCCCTGAACATGTAGTGCCCAGTTTCCTGTTGTGCCCCCTGGTCTAGTAGTGCCCCAGGTTTTGTAGCGCCTCGGGTCTTATAGGTCCCCGGGTCTTGTAGGTCCCAGGGTCTTGTAGTGTCCCTGGTCTTGCAGTGCCCAGTATCTTGTGGAGCTCCGGGTCTTGTAGTGCCCCGGGTCTTATAGTTCCCAAGGTCTCTTAATGCCCCTGGTCGTGTAGTGCCCTGGGTCTTGTAGTGCCCCGGGTCTTGTAGTGCCCCGGGTTTTGTGGTGCCCCTGGTCATGAAGTGATACGGGTCTTGTTTTGCCCCCAGATCTTGTAGTGCCTCTGTTCTTGTAATGTCCCCCCTGGTCGTGTAGTGCCCCTTGGTCTTTTAGTGCCCCATATCTTATAAGGCCCCGTGTCTCTTAATGCCCCTGGTCTTGTAGTGCCCCATGTCCTGTTGAGCCCAGGGTCTACTAGTGCCCTGGGACTTGTACTGCCCCTGGTCGTGTAGTGCCCCTGGTCTTGTAGTGCCCCCTGGTCTTGTCGTGCCCCGGGTTTTGTGGCGCCCTGGGACTTGTAGGTCCCCGGGTCTTGTAGGTCCCCGGGTCTTGTTGTGCCCCTGGTCTTGTATTGCCCCGGGTCTTGTAGTACTCCGGGTCTTCAAGTGCCACGGGTCTTGTGGTGCCCCCGGGGACTTGTAGTGCCCCTGGTCTTGTAGTGGCCCTGGTTATGTAATGCCCCTGGTCTAGTATTGCTGAGGGTTTTGTAATGCACCTGGTCGTGTAGTGTCCCGGGTTTGTGATGCCTCGGGTCTTGTAGTGCCCGGGGTCTTGTAGTGATCCCTGATCTTGTAGTTCCCCGGTTCATATAGTGCCCCCCACCCTAGTCTTGTAGTGCCCCTTGGTCGTGTAGTGCCCCTTGATCTTGTAGTGCCTCTGGTCTTGTAGTGCCTTGGGACTTGTAGTGCCCCGGGTCTTTTAGTGCCCCGAGTCTTATAATGACCCGGGTCTCTTAATGCCCCTGGTCCTGTAGTGTCCCCTGTCCTGTTGGGTCCCGGGTCTTGTAGTGCCCCTGGGCAAGAAATGATCCCTGGTCGTGCAGTGACCCTGGTCTTGTAGTGATCCCTGATCTTGTAGTGCCCCGGTTCATGTAGTGCCCCCTAGTCTTGTAGTGCGTTTTGGTCTTGTAGAGCCCCTTAATCATGTAGTGCCCCTTGGTCTTTTAATGCCCATTGGTCTTGAAGTGCCCCCTGGTCTTGTAATGCCCCTGGTTTTGTAGGTCTTCGGTTGTGTGGTTCCCCGTGATTTGTAGTGCCCCAGGTCTTGTAGTGCACCAGGTCTTGTGGAGCCCCGGGTCTTATAGTGCCCCAGGTCTTATAGTGCCCTGGATGTCTTAATGCTCCCTGGTCGTGTAGTGTTCCGTGTCCTGTTGTGCCCCGGGTCTTGTAGTGCCCCTGATCTTAAGTGCCCCGGGTCTTGTAGTGTTCCAGGTATTGTGGAGCTCCGGGTCTTGTAGTGCCCCGGGTCTGATAGTACCCCGGGTCTCTTAATGATCCTAGTATTGTATTGCCCCGTGTCCTGTGTTGCCCCGGGTTTTGTATTGTCCCTGGTCTTGAAGTGCCACGGGCCTTGTGGTTCCCCCAGGTCTCGTAGTGTTCCAGGCCTTGTAGTGCCCACTCTTCTTGTAATGCCCCGTGTCTTGTTGTTTCCCCGGTATTGTAGTGCCTCTGGTCTTATAATGCCCCTAAACTTTTAATGCCCATTGGTCTTGTAGTGTCCCGAGTCTTGTAATGCCCCTGGTCTTGTAGTGCCCCGGGTATTGTGGTGCCCTGGGTCTTAATGTGCCCCGGTTCGTGTAGTGCCCCTGGTCTTGGGGTGCCCCGGGTCTTGTGGTGCCCCTGGTCTTGTAGTGCCCCTGTTCTTGTAATGTCCCCCTGGTCTTGTAGTGCCCTGGGTCTTGTGGTGCCCTGGGTCTTGTAGTGCCCCTGGTCTTGTGGTGCCCTGGGTCTTGTGGTGCCCCGGGTCTTGTGGTGCCCAGGGTCTTGTGGTGTCCCGGGACTTGCAGTTCCCCTGGTGTTGTCCTGCCAGTGGTCTTGTAGTGTCCCATGTCTTGAAATGCTCCAAATCTTTTGGTGCACCGGTTCCTGTAGTGCGCCGGGTCTTGTAGTACCCCTTTTCTTGTAGTGCCCTCTGGTCGTGTAGTTCCGCGGGTCATTAGGTGCCCCAGTTGTTGTAGAGCTCCGGGTCTTGTGGTGCTTCGGGTCTTGTTGTGCCTTGATGCCCCTGAACATGTAGTGCCCAGTTTCCTGTTGTGCCCCCTGGTCTTGTAGTGCCCCAGGTTTTGTAGCGCCCCGGGTCTTATAGGTCCCCGGGTCTTGTAGGTCCCAGGGTCTTGTAGTGTCCCTGGTCTTGCAGTGCCCAGTATCTTGTGGAGCTCCGGGTCTTGTAGTGCCCCGGGTCTTATAGTTCCCAAGGTCTCTTAATGCCCCTGGTCGTGTAGTGCCCTGGGTCTTGTAGTGCCCCGGGTCTTGTAGTGCCCCGGGTTTTGTGGTGCCCCTGGTCATGAAGTGATACGGGTCTTGTTTTGCCCCCAGATCTTGTAGTGCCTCTGTTCTTGTAATGTCCCCCCTGGTCGTGTAGTGCCCCTTGGTCTTTTAGTGCCCCATATCTTATAAGGCCCCGTGTCTCTTAATGCCCCTGGTCTTGTAGTGCCCCATGTCCTGTTGAGCCCAGGGTCTACTAGTGCCCTGGGACTTGTACTGCCCCTGGTCGTGTAGTGCCCCTGGTCTTGTAGTGCCCCCTGGTCTTGTCGTGCCCCGGGTTTTGTGGCGCCCTGGGACTTGTAGGTCCCCGGGTCTTGTAGGTCCCCGGGTCTTGTTGTGCCCCTGGTCTTGTAGTGCCCCGGGTCTTGTAGTACTCCGGGTCTTCTAGTGCCACGGGTCTTGTGGTGCCCCCGGGGACTTGTAGTGCCCCTAGTCTTGTAGTGGCCCTGGTTATGTAATGCCCCTGGTCTAGTATTGCTGAGGGTTTTGTAATGCACCTGGTCGTGTAGTGTCCCGGGTTTGTGATGCCTCGGGTCTTGTAGTGCCCGGGGTCTTGTAGTGATCCCTGATCATGTAGTTCCCCGGTTCATATAGTGCCCCCCACCCTAGTCTTGTAGTGCCCCTTGGTCGTGTAGTGCCCCTTGATCTTGTAGTGCCTCTGGTCTTGTAGTGCCTTGGGACTTGTAGTGCCCCGGGTCTTTTAGTGCCCCGAGTCTTATAATGACCCGGGTCTCTTAATGCCCCTGGTCTTGTAGTGTCTCCTGTCCTGTTGGGTCCCGGGTCTTGTAGTGCCCCTGGGCAAGAAATGATCCCTGGTCGTGCAGTGCCCCTGGTCTTGTAGTGATCCCTGATCTTGTAGTGCCCCGGTTCATGTAGTGCCCCCCAGTCTTGTTGTGCGTTTTGGTCTTGTAGAGCCCCTTGATCATGTAGTGCCCCTTGGTCTTTTAATGCCCATTGGTCTTGAAGTGCCCCCTGGTCTTGTAATGCCCCTGGTTTTGTAGGTCTTCGGTTGTGTGGTTCCCCGTGATTTGTAGTGCCCCAGGTCTTGTAGTGCACCAGGTCTTATAGTGCCCTGGATGTCTTAATGCTCCCTGGTCGTGTAGTGTTCCGTGTCCTGTTGTGCCCCGGGTCTTGTAGTGCCCCTGATCTTAAGTGCCCCGGGTCTTGTAGTGTTCCAGGTATTGTGGAGCTCCGGGTCTTGTAGTGCCCCGGGTCTGATAGTACCCCGGGTCTCTTAATGATCCTAGTATTGTATTGCCCCGTGTCCTGTGTTGCCCCGGGTTTTGTATTGTCCCTGGTCTTGAAGTGCCACGGGCCTTGTGGTTCCCCCAGGTCTCGTAGTGTTCCAGGCCTTGTAGTGCCCACTCTTCTTGTAATGCCCCGTGTCTTGTTGTTTCCCCGGTATTGTAGTGCCTCTGGTCTTATAATGCCCCTAAACTTGTAATGCCCATTGGTCTTGTAGTGTCCCGAGTCTTGTAATGCCCCTGGTCTTGTAGTGCCCCGGGTATTGTGGTGCCCTGGGTCTTAATGTGCCCCGGTTCGTGTAGTGCCCCTGGTCTTGGGGTGCCCCGGGTCTTGTGGTGCCCCTGGTCTTGTGGTGCCCCGGGTCTTGTGGTGCCCTGGGTCTTAATGTGCCCCAGGTCTTGTAGTGCCCCGGGTCTTGTGGTGCCCTGGGTCTTGTGGTGCCCCGGGTCTTGTGGTGCCCTAGGTCCTGTGGTGTCCCGGATCTTATAGTGCCCCGGGTCATGTTGTGTCCCCGGTCTTGTATTGCCCCCTAATCGTGTAATGCCCCTTGACATGTAGAGACTCCTTGCCTTATAGTGCCCATAGTCTTGTAGTGCCCCTGGTCTTGTAGTGCCTCTGGTTTTATGGTGCTCCGAGTCTTGTAGTGCCCCGGAGCTTGTGGAGCCCCTGGTCTTGTAGAGCCCCTGGTCTTGTAGTGCCCCCATTTTGTTGATGCCCCGGGACTTGTAGTTCCCGGGTTTCGTAGTGCTCCTTGGTCTTTTAGTGCCCCGTGCCTTATAATGACCCGGGTCTCTTAATGCCCCTGGTCTTGTAGTGCCCCGTGTCCTGTTGGGCCCCGGGTCTTGTTGTACCCCTGGTCCTGAAATGCCCCCCCCCTGGTCTTGTAGTGCCCCTGGTCTTGTAGTGATCCCTGATCTTGTAGTGCCCCGGGTCATGTAGTGCCCTTTGTCTTGTAGCGCCCCTTTCTCTTGTAGTGCTCCTTAGTCTTGTAGTGCCCCATGGTCTTGTAGTGCCCCTTGGTCTTGTAGCTCCCCCTGGTCTTGTAATGCCCCGGGTCTTGTAGGACCCCCGGTTGTGTGGTTCCCCGGAATTTGTAGTGCCCCGTGGTCTTGTAGTGCCCCCTGGTCTTGTAGTGCTCCTTGGTCTTGTAGTGCCCCGGGTCTTGTAGTGCACCGGGTCTTGTGAAGCTCCGTGTCTTGTAGTGCCCTGGGTCTTGTAGTGCCCCGGGTCTTGTAGTACCCCGGGTCTTATGGTGCCCCTGATCCTGAAGTGATACGGGTCTTCTGGTGCCCCCAGGTCTTGTAGTGCCCCTGTTCTTGTAATGTCCCCCTGGTCTTGTAGTGCCCCGGGTCTTGTGGTGCCCTGGGTCTTAATGTGCCCCGGGTCTTGTAGTGCCCGTGGTCTTGTGGTGCTCTGGGTCTTGTAGTGCCCCGGGTCTTGTGGTGCCCTGGGTATTGTGGTGTCCCGGGTCTTATAGTGCCCCGGGTCATGTTGTGTCCCCGGTCTTGTATTGCCCCCTTATCGTGTAATGCCCCTTGACATGTAGTGACTCCTTGTCTTATAGTGCCCCTAGTCTTGTAGTGCCCCTGGGCATGTAGTGCCCCTGGGCATGTAGTGCCCCTGGTCTTGTAGTGCCTCGGGTCTTATAGTGCCCCGAGTCTTTTAGTACCCTTGGTCTTGTAGTGCTCCCATTTTTTTGATGCCCCGGGACTTATAGTTCCCTGGTTCGTAGTGCTCCTGGTCTTGTAGTGCACCGGGTCTTGTCGTGCCCCGGCTCTTGTCGTACTCCGGGTCTTTTAGTGCTGTGTGTCTTATAATACCCCTGATCTTCTAGTTCCCTTGGTCTTGTAGAGCCCTTGGTCATGTAGAGACCTTGGTCTTGCAATGCCCGGTCTTGTAGTACCCATATTTTTGTTTTGCTTCGGGTCTTGTAGTGCTCCGAGGTCTTGTAGTTCCCCTGGTCTTGTAGTGTTCCGGGTCTTGTAGTGCCCATATTTTTGTAGTGCTCCGGGTCTTGTAGTGCTCCAAGGTCTTGTAGTTCCCCTGGTCTTGTAGTGCTCCGGGTCTTGTAGTCCCCTGGGTCTTGTAGTGCTTCGGGTCATGTAGTGCTCCGGGTCTTGTAGTGCTCCGGGTCTTGTAGTGCTTCGGGTCTTGTAGGGCCCCTTGGTCTTTTAGTGCCCCGTGGCTTATAATGACCCGGGTCTTTTAATGCCCCTGGTCTTGTAGTGCCCCGTGTCCTGTTGGGCCCCGGGTACTGTTGTGCCCCTGGTCCTAAAATGCCCTCCTGGTTTTGTAGTGCCCCTGGTCTTGTAGTGATCCCTGATCTTGTAGTGTCCCGGGTCATGTAGTGCCCTTTGTCTTGTATTGCTCCTTTCTCTTGTTGTGCTCCTTGGTCTTGTAGTGCCCCCTGGTCTTGTAATGCCCCGGGTCTCGTAGGTCCCCCGGTTGTGTCGTTCCCCGGTATTTGTAGTGCCCCGGGTCTTGTAGTGCACCGGGTCCTGTGGAGCTCCGGGTCTTGTAGTGCCCCGGGTCTTTTAGTGCCCCGGGTCTCTTAAAGCCCCTGGTCTTGTATTGCCTCATGTCCTGTTATGCCCCGGGTCTTGTACTGCCCCGGGTATTGTAATGCCCCGGGTCTTGTAGTGCCCCTGGTCTTGACGTGGCACGGGTCTTGTGGTTCCCGAAGGTCTGGTAGTGCCCCTGGTCTTGTAGTGCCCCCTCTTCTTGTAGTGCCCCGGGTCTTGTTGTATCCCCGATCTTGTAGTGCCGCTGGTCCTGTAATGCCCCTGGGCTTGTAATGCCCATTGGTTTTGTAGTGCCCCGATTCTTGTAGAGCCCCTGGTCTTGTAGTGCCCCGTGTCTCTTAATGCTCCTGGTCTTGTATTGCACCGTGTCCTGTTGTGCCTCGGGTCTTGTAGTGCCCTGGGTCTTGTTGTGCCCCGGGTCTTGTTGTACCCCGGGTCTTGTGGTGCCCCTGGTCTTGAAGTGATACGGGTCTTGTGGTGCCCTAGGTCTTATAGTGCCCCGGGTCATGTAGTGCCCCAGGTCTTGTCGTGTTCATGGTCTTGTAGTGCCCCTTGGTCTTTTAGTGCCCCGTATCTTATAAGGCCCTGGGTCTCTTAATGCCCCTGGTCTTGTAGTGTCCCGTGTCCTGTTGTGCCCCAGGTCTTGTAGTGCTCCGGGTCTTGTAGTGCCCCGGGTCTTATAGTGCCCAGTGTCTTGTTGATCCCCCTGTCTTTTAGTGCACTCTGGTCCTGTAGTACTCCCTGGTCGTGTAGTGCCCCAGGTTTTGTGGCGCCCAGGGACTTGGAGGTCCCCGGGTCTTGTAGGTCCCCAGGTCTTCTAGTGCCACGGGTCTTGCAGTGCTCTGGTTATGTAATGCCCCTGGTCTTGTATTGCTGAGGGTTTTGTAATGCACCTGGTCGTGTAGTGCCCCGGGTTTGTGATGCCTCGGGTCTTGTAGTGCCCGGGGTCTTGTTGTGCCCCTGGGCCAGAAATGGCCCCTGGACGTGTAGTGCCCTTCGTCTTGTAGTGATCCCTGTTCTTGTATTGCCCCGGTTTATGTAGTGCCCCCTAGCCTTGTAGTGCCCCTTGGTCTTGTAGTGCCCCTTGATCTTGTAGTGCCCCTGGTCTTGTAGTTCTCCGGGAATTGTAGTGCTCCGGGGTCTTGTAGTTCCCCTAATCTTGTAGTGCTCCGGGTCTCTTAATGCCCCTGGTCTTGTAGGGCCCCCTGTCCAGTTGGGTCCCGGGTCTTGTAGTGCCCCTTGGCCAGAAATGGTCCCTGGTCGTGTAGTGTCCCTGGTCTTGTAGTGATCAATGATCTTTTAGTGCCCCGGTTCATTTAGTGCCCCCTAGTCTTGTAGTGCGCCTTGGTCTTGTAGTGCCCCTTGATCTGTCGTGCCACTTGGTCTTTTAGTGCCCCTTGGTCTTGAAGTGCCCCTGGTCTTGTAGGTCTTCGGTTGTGTGGTTCCCCGTATTTGTAGTGCCCCAGGTCTTGTAGTGCACCGGGTGTTGTGGAGTCCCGGGTCTTATAGTGCCTTGGGTGTTCCCTGGTCGTTTAGTGCCCCGTGTCCTGTTGTGCCCCGGGTCTTGTAGTGCCCCTGGTCTTTAGTGCCCTGGGTCTTGTAGTGCCCCTGGTCTTTAGTGCCCCGGGTCTTGTAGTGCCCCAGGTATTGTGGAGCTTCGGGTCTTGTAGTGCCCCGGGTCTTATTGTACCCCGGGTCTCGTGTTACCCCGGGTTTTGTATTGTAGTGCCCCTGGTCTTGTATTGCCCCGTGTCCTGTGTTACCCCGGGTTTTGTATTGTCCCTGGTCTTGAAGTGCCACGGGCCTTGTGGTTCCCCCTTGTCTCATAGTGTTCCAGGCCTTGTAGTGCCCACTCTTCTTGTAGTGCCCCGTGTCTTGTTGTTTCCCCGATATTGTAGTGCCCCTGGTTTTATACTGCCCCTAGACTTCTAATGCCCATTGGTCTTGTAGTGTACTGAGTCTTGTAATGCCTCTGGTCTTGTAGTGCCTCGGGTTTTGTGGTGCACCGTTTCTTGTAGTATCCCTGGTCTTGCAGTACCCCTGATCTTGTAGTGCCCCTGGTCTAGTAGTACCCCCTTTTCTTCAAGTGCTCCCTGGTCTTGTAGTTCCCTGGATCATTAGGTTCCCCAGGTGTTGTAGTGCCCCGGGGTCTTGTGGTGCTTCGGGTCTTGTTGTGCCCCGGGTCTCTTAATGCCCCTGAACATGTAGTACCCAGTTTAATGTTGTGCACCTGGTCTTGTAGGAACCTGGTCTTGTAGTACCCCGAGTCATGTAATGCCCCCCTGGTCTTGGAGTGCCCTGAGTTTTGTCGTGCCCCAGGGTCTTGTAGTTCCCCTGGTCTTGTAGTGCCCTTGGTCTTGTAGTGCCCCGGGTCTTGTAGTGCCCTTGTCTTGTAGTGCCCCGGGTCTTGTAGTGCCGCAGGTATTGTGGAACTCCGGCTCTTGTAATGCTCCGGGTCTAATAGTACCCCGGGACTCTTAATGCCCCTGGTCTTATATTGCCCCGTGTCCTGTGTTGCCCCGGGTTTTGTAGTGTCCCTGGTCTTCAAGTGCCACGGGCCTTGTGGTTCCCCAGGTCTTGTATTGCCCCTGGTCTTGTAGTGTCCCCTCTTCTTGTAGTGCCCGGGTCTTGTGTCCCCGGTCTTGTAGTGCCCCTGGTCTTATAATGATCCTGGACTTGTAATGCCCATTGGTCTTGTAGTGTCCCGAGTCTTGTAATACCCCTGGTCTTGTAGTGCCCCTGGTCTTATAGTTCCCAGGGGATTGTGGTGCCCCAAGTCTTGTAGTGCCCCAGGTCTTGTAGTGCCCCGGGTTTTGTATTGCCCCGGGTCTTGTAGTACCCCTGGTCTTGTAGTGCCCCTGATCTTGTAGTGCCCCTGGTCTTATAGTTCCCCGGGGGTTTGTGGTGTCCCAAGTCTTGTAGTGCCCCTGGTCTTGTAGTGCCCCTGGTCTTGTAGTGCCCCTGGTCTTCTAGTGCCCTCTGGTTTTTTAGTTCCCTTGGTCTTGTAGTGCCCGTGGTCTCGTAGTGCCCTGGGTCCTGTTGTGCCCCGGGTCGTGTAGTGCAAGGGACTTGCAGTTCCCCTGGTTTTGTAGTGTCCCTGGTTTTTTCGTGCCAGTGGCCTTGTAGTGCCCCATGTCTTGAAATGCTCCAAATCTTGTGGTGCACCGGGTCCTGTAGTGCGCCGGGTCTTGAAGTGCTCTTGATCTTGTAGTGCCCCTGGTCTTGAAGTACCCCAGGTCTTGTAGTGCCCATGGTCTTGTAGTACCCCTTTCTTGTAGTGCCCTCTGGTCGTGTTGTTCCCCGGGTAATAAGGTGCCCCAGTTGTTGTAGTACCCCGGGTCTTGTGGTGCTTCGGGTCTTGTTGTGCCTTGGGTTTCTTGATGCCCCTGAACATGTAGTGCCCAGTTTCCTGT